CGCTACACAACCATTTCTCGACCCGTGTGGGCGGGGCTACTGCCGTCCACGACGCGGGTAGGATACCTCTGAGCCAGAAGCAGGCCTCCGATTCATGCTGCACTTGCGCCTGAAAGACTAAACTCTCCGATGCTGTGAAGGCCTGAGCGTCGACGTTCTTGTCGCAGCTCCAATTACGATGGTATGCGGGAGCCTTCTTACGTCTGGGGCAAAGGGTGCAAGCATTCTTATCTACCTCATCGGCTATCCTCTGTCGGGGCCATGTGCCGCCGACAGCTACACAGAGCATCATTTCTGATAATTGGCGCCCCTTTGGGCACGACTCTAGGTTACGAATATACTGACGGTACGAGCGGTTGTCCGCTCCCCCTTCGAGCCCCGAGCCGCAAAAGTGTTCAGAGGCCTGCAACCATTGACGACGTTCAATGGTGGCTTCAAACTCGTTAAGTAAATCCGAAAAATAAGTATCGGGACCTAAATCACCCTCGAACATAAAAGCTTTCCTGGAAAGGTCGCCCTGGGGACGAGTGCCCCATTCCGTGGCCGAAGCAGGGTCCCACTGAAACTGCAGGAGATACGAAATGACTGTAGACATGGGGCCCCTTATGTGCCTGGTCCGTTGGGCCATATCGAGGCCTGCCAAATGCGAAGCCACTTTGGGCCACGCTTGCAAAACACCTGCACGAAGCCTAGGGTTAGCAAACCAAGACGTGAGCCAAAGCTTGAGGCTCTCGCGCGGCAGGCAAACTCCAGGGTCTAAATTATCAAATCTGAGGTCGAGAACAGAAGTTAAGCACCGACCTCTCTTAGCTGACGACGCGACATGGGCCATCCTGCGCCTCATCTGGAGCATGTTCGAGCCGAAGACCCCGTGGACCTGGTGCCCGTAGTGCCCCGCTGGCTGAGCGCCCGCTGACTCCAGCCGCATAGCCGGGTGGTATCGGGACGAGGCCCGAGCATATCTGATGATCTTCTTATGCATCGTGGTGCTCTTCACGACTCTTTTGCGCCGTGTCTCACGCGCGTGGCGGCCAGCGCCCGTGTCTAGCACCAAGTAGCTCGCCTGGAGGACGGGCACCACCATGATCCCCTTCCTCTTGAGACAAGCTGCCACGTGCCGAGCGTCGCGATGATCCGAACACAACACTACACTTTTGGCCGCAACCTCCAGCCCAGCCTCCGCCAAGCCTTCGCTCGTGTGCATGAGAACCTTCACTAGCCTCTTGCGCACAAAAGATCGGGAGCCTCGAAGGTGCTGAGACAAATCGTCGATCCACAGCCGCATGTCGACCATGGGGTGACTGGAAGTGAGGCGATCCAATATATAATATGTCATGCAGCGCGCGAACCTCGTGCCGCTGCGTAATCCTTGGATTACGCTGCGGGTCGGCTGGAACGCCTCTGAGTAGCATTCCCTCTGTGCCAACGTCCGCGGTGCAACGCACAACTGGAGCTCGAGCAGCAGGATGATCGGCGGAAAGCCGAGGGATAATGCAGCTGCCGCGAGCTTCAGCCAACTGATGCTGTCGTAGAAGCTCTTGATGTCCACCAGGCCGTGCCCAAAGGGCACTTGCAGCACGCTGGCGACCTCCTCGCCCAAAATGCGGAGGAAGCCCTCACGCAAGGACGAGTTGCCCGCAACTGCGGCATCCCAGTGGGGCTGCGAGTCCAAGGCCCACTGCTTGACCTCGGCCTCGCGCGCCTGCGACCAGATGCGGGGGATCATCCCCACGAGGCCGATCGTGCGGTCGCCTCCCGACTTCTTGGGGAGAAGTCGGCCGACGAGCAACATCAGCTGCCATGGCCACGTGCCGCACTGCTCCACCGCCGACAAGATGTCCGCCAGCTCGGCTAGGCCCTCTGGCGGGAGCCTCTCCACGTCCAGCGGCGACAACTTGTCAACGCCTCGCCCAGCCCTAGGCCTCATCACATGAGCTGCAGCCTGGACTGGAGCTCCTGTGAGAGGGGGGAGCTCATGAAACTGAACCTCGTCTCTGATGCGATCGGACGTGTGAAGAAGCTCGACTGGGTCCAAGGCGTCATCATGCCATAACTTGTGCCACTTCGTTACCTTGTGATCTACGATGTCGCGAGGGTGATGGAGAATACCTCCAGCGATGCAGACCTCCTCGGCTGGAGGTGGCAGCTTCTTCAAACTCTTGTGTAGAATGTTTACTGCAGGCTCCGTGACGATCCAATCGCGGAACTGCTCAAGAGAAGCATGAATAGCACGACCTCTGGCCCTGCGCTCAGCACGGCTGCTGACCTCGACCATGTCCCTCAACATTGGCAGAGAAACTCGCTCAAGATCCTGCAAATGCTGGAGCCACTGATCCCATGTCCATTTGCTCTTAGCCAACACCGCGTGCACATGAACTGGGTACTGCGTGGCCATGCGCTCGCTGGCCTCCTTCAAGGCCTGACACTGCCGTGCGCCATTCTGCTTCTCACGATGATGCAACAACCGAGGCAAGACTGTATGTGCGCGAGCCCACCACGCACTGCACGAGTCCTGCAGGGGAGCCGCTCGAATTTTTTCAGGAATCTTCACCTCATGGACGGCGAAACGCGGCCCCTCTGCCCTCCGCGGGGCCCTCTGGCTGAGCTGAGGAGGAGGAAGAGGAGGAGGGGGAGGGGGAGGAGGAGGAGGAGGAAGAGGAAGGAGGAGGCGGAGGCGGAGGCGGAGGCGGCGGCGGCGGCGGCGGCGGAGGAGGAGGAGGAGGAGGAGGAGGAGGAGGAGGCGGAGGAGGAGGAGGAGGAGGAGGACGAGAGCGAGGCAGTGACGCCAGGAGGGATGGGCAGAGGAAGGGAGCGGGATGTCAGAGGAGGGAAAAGTACCCATACCGCTGCCCTTCCCGAGTTCCCTTTTTGGGGGTCTCCTCGGAGGCCCTCGTCGCCACCGCGGGATTCGCGTCGAAATTCGGGTTAGTGCGCACCCCGGGCAAGGTTCAGGGAGTAATGTTATCGGTGCATGTTGGTTTCCCCAGACTTGGCATCGCTCGGAAGTGTGCGTTTTTTCCTCGGCGAGGACCATCGAGGAGCATCGTGCGAGGAGCATCCTGGATCACCCTGCCCTCAAAAAACACGCACGAAGCCAGAAAAGGCAAGAGGAACGGACGTCCGAGCGATAGCAAGAGGATCGAGGTCCAAGCTTTTGGCTTTGGGTTTGGGGGTCGAGGCCCGGCGGGAGGATAGAGGATCAAGGTCCGAGGTGAGGGAATCGAGGATCGAGGTCGAGGGTCTTGGGGCATCCAAGATGGAGGTCCGAGGTTCGGGGACGGAGGGTCGAGGCCGAGGATCTCTGGGGATCGAGGAGAGTGAACGGAGGTCGAGGATTGGGGGCCGAGGATCGAGGCTGAGGATCTGGAGGATGAGGCATCCTGGGGGAGGAGGAGGAGGAGGAGGAGGAGGAGGAGGAGGAGGAGGAGGAGGAGGAGGAGGAGGAGGAGGAGGAGGAGGAGGAGGAGGACGAGGTCGAGGATCTCGGACGTTTCCGACGTCCATCGGCGGTTCTTCCGCCTCGGGACGTGGCTCCACAGCTGCGCCTCCGCGAGAGCACGCGGGGGGGCCCGAGCCGCCCCGAGCGGCCGGCCGGAGCGCCGGGCGGCGGCCCGAGAGCCGCAGCGACGGGGCGGAGTGGCCCCCGCTGGGGAAGCTGGGGGAAGCCGGGGGAAGAGCGGCCTACCGCCGATCTATCAGCGATGCGTTTGGGGCGGACTGGTCCCTGATGTGTAGGTGTCAGAGCCCCGAATCATCAGGGGCAACTCGGGTCAGGGTTGACTCGGCTTCGTTTGTCGGGAGTCTGAACCCGACTTGCCCCGGACCCGAGCTACCCCGGATAATTCGGGCGTCCAGAGCCCCACATCATCAGGGGTAACTCGGGTCAGGGCTAACTCGGGTTCCTTTTTTCGGGAATCCAAACCCGAGTTACCCCGGACCCGAGTTACCCCGGATAACTCGGGCGCCCAAAGGTGGGGAAGCTGGGGAAGATCGGCCTACCGCCGATCTATCAGCGATGCGTTTGATAGCAGATCATGGGGGCCACGTGTCTCCTCGCGACGCCGCCTCTGCAGTGCACCAGCGTGTGCGAGCGCCTGGTCATGGCAAGGACAGCGCCGATGTAGCATCGATCAGCGTGGGCTTAGCGTCGATTGGCGGCAATCGGCGTCGGCTAGCTACGATTCGCAAGAGCGGCTCCCAGAAGCTGCCAGAGGCAGTCGGTCCCCGATGCTTCGTCATCGAGGGTCTGCCGCCGATATCTATCAGCGATGCGGCAGGCGTGGCGTCCTGCCGCACATCGCGGAACGTCGGCGTCGGCGTCGGCGTCGTCGGTCGCCGATGTGTCAGCGATGTTCGGCGGCGAGCGAGGGGGGGAAGTGAGAAGGAGAAGGCCTTCGGGACTTCTCAGCAGCCCTCGCGCCCTCTGCGAAGTGTTTCTCTGTCTTCTGGGAAGGCTTCACAGAAACTTCTCGGAAAGGCCAGGGTGGACTTCCGAGTCTTCCGAGAAGGCCTCCTCCTTCTCCTTGGCATCGCTCGGACGTGTGCATCTTCTTCCTCGGCGAGGACCTTCGAGGAGCCTCCTCGACCCTCTGGCGAAAAAACCGCGCACGACACCGAAAAAGGCACAGGGCATGGACGTCCGAGCCATGGCCAGTCTCCTTACCCCCCCCCCTCGCTCGCCGCCGAGACTGGGCCTCGAGCAGGAGCAGGAGGAGGAGGAGGAGGAGGAGGAGGAGGAGGAGGAGGAAGAGCAGCGAGGAGCGAGGAGCGAGGAGGAGGAGGGAGGAGGAGGAGGAGAGGAGGAGGAGGAGGAGGAGGAGGAGGAGGAGGAGAGGAGGAGGAGGAGGAGGAGGAGGAGGAGGAGGAGGAGGAGGAGGAGGACTGGAGGAGGAGGAGGAGGAGGAGGCGGAGGAGGAGGAGGAGGAGGAGGAGGCGAGACGTGGCAGGCCTGGCTCCTGCCCGCGCGCCACGGCTTCCGCGCCACCATTGCCCTCCCGGAGCAGCGGGCGCTGGCCCTCGGCGCCTCGCGCCTGCACGCGGTGCTCGCCGCGCGGGGCTCGGCGCGGCCCGGCGGCTCCCGCGAGCTCCCGCCGGGGTCTCCGCTGCGGCGCCTCCTCGGCGAGGCTCGGCGCGATCGGAGTGGGCACAGAGAGGTTGGGGCAGGAAGGCTCCTCCTCCTCCTCCTCCTCCTCCTCCTCGTCCTCCTCCTCCTCGTCCTCCTCCTCCTCTTCCTGCTTCTCCTCCTCCTGCTCCTCCTCCTCCTCCTCCTCCTCCTCCTCCTCGTCCCCCTCCTCCTCCTCCGACAGCACGTCTTGTTCGCTTTGGGCAGTCGAAGAAGAAGAAGAAGAAGAAAAAGAAAAAGAAGAAGAATAATCGCCATAAGCATGCACTTGTTGCGCTCCGCGCGGACTTCTGGCGCGCTCCGCGCGCCAGGGAGGGTGGTCCAGCGCAGATCCCAGAAATCCGCGTGGAGCACCAGCAGTTTATGCTTACAGCTTTTTTCATGTGTCTATCTTCGTTTTGGGCAGGGCTCGCTGTCGGTGTCGCCGCGGTCGTAGTCCATTTGAGGCAGAGCGTGGCCTGGCCAACAGCGGCTGCTGTCGGTCATGGACAGCATTTGGTTGTTGGGCATCGCAGGTTTTGCATTCGGCACTGCACAGGTTCATGGCGCTTCTTTCCCTCTGCTTTCCTCATTCTCCTTCAACTTTGTTTGGGAAATTCGTTAACCTTGCGATGGACCCAGCCATATGCATGTTTGAGTAACGCAGTCGTTAGGGTCGTCTTCGGTGGAGTTCCCTGTGGGGCCACGAAGCGTGTAAGGGGTGTACCGACAGGGCGGGCGTACGCATGTGGACCTTCCCACTGGGGCCTGCGGTTGACCTTCCCACTGGGGCCACGTAAAGTATGAGGGATGTGCGGACATGGGTCGGGCGGACGCATGGGGAATCTCCCACTGGGGCCTTTGGTGGAACTCCCTATGGGGCCACGAAGCGTGTGAGGGGCGAACCGACATGGGTCGGGCGGACGCATGTGGACCCTTCCACCAAGGCCTTCGGTGGAACTCCCTTTGGGGCCACGAAGCGTTTGAGGTTGAATGTGGTGGGCTGTGCGGACGCATGTGACCGCACCCACTGGGCCTGTGGCGGAGCTTGGGCCACGGAATGTGTGAGAGAGATGCGGGAAATTGGTGTGGCGGACCCATGTGGCTACACCCGCTGGGGTCTGGGGCGGAGCTTCTCATGGGGCACGAAACGTTTGAAGGGTGTGCCGACATGTGTATGGCGGACGCATGTGACCACACCCACTCGAACCTTAGTTGGAGCTCGCTTTGGGGCCACCAAACGCGTGAGGGGTGTGCCGAAATCCGCATGGCGGACGCATTTGGTCACACCCATTGGGGTCTTAGGTGGAGGGCCGCGATACCTGTGAGGGGCGTGCCGACATGAGTGTTTCGGACGCACGTGGCAGCACCCATTGGTGCTTCAGGTGGAGCTCCCGATGCGGCCACGAAACTTGTGAGGGGGGTGTGGACATGAGTGTGGTGAACGCATTCTGGCCACACCCACCGGGGCCCCAAGTGGAGCTCCCTATGAGGCCACGAGGAGTGTGAGGGTTGTGCCGAAAAGTGTATGGCGGACGCATATGGCCACACCCTCTGGTGCCTTAGGTGGAGCTCATTATGGAGCCACGAGACGTGTGAGGTGTGTGCGAAGTAAGTGTGGCAGGCGCATGCGGCCACACCCACTGGGGCCCCTGGTGGAGCTCCCCGTGGGGCGACGAGGCGTGTGAGGGGTGTACCGAACAAAAATGCATGGCGGACGCATGAGGCCACACCCATTTGTGCTTCAGGTGGAGCTCCATCTGGGGCCACGAAGCGTGTGAAGTGTGTCCCGAAATGAGCGTGGCGGACGCATGTGGCCACCCACTGAGGTCTGTGCTCCCGGTGGGGCCACATAGAGTACGAGGGATGTGCCAACATGGGTCTGGCGGACGCAGGTGGACCCTCCCACAGTGGCCTCAGGTGGAGCTCCCCACGGGGCCACGAGACGTGTGAGGGGTGTGCCGAAATGGGTGAGGCAGGGATGGGACGAGGGAAGGGGAGCATGTGTTGTTGGGCACCGTGCTGTCCTACGTATGTCCAGAGAGGAGCTGGCGCTGGAGGGCTGCACGGAGGCCGACGTGAGCGCCGCGCAGCCGCTCCTGAGGCTCGGAGGGCACCGGCCGTCTGCTCGGGGGCAGGTGTACGGAGACCAGGACCAGATCGTAGCGGGATTAGGGGAGCAGGCAATGACATAGACATGCAGCCGAGCATCTGATTGAGAAACCTCCTCTCGAAACGCTGGGCCAACGTTTCCGAACCAACTTGCCCGAACGCTGGCCCAGCTTCTTGAGCACATTCGCCCTTCCAGGGTCAACAGCAGAGATTGACCCAGGTTTGTTTCAAGGAACGTCTAGGGAATTGGCCCAGATTTCTAGGATGAGACGTTCTTCGCCATACTTCTTTGATGTAAAAACTCGGATGTCCGCGCCCCTGGCAATCCAGCGCCGATCCGCCAAGAAATCCACGCGGACCATTGAGTTGTTGTGTTTATGCTATTGTTTGTTCCCCAAGAGATGTCGTCGATACCGATCTCAGCCATGGTCCATGTCGGCCGTCGCCGAATCGCGAGGGTGACCCACGAGATGGCCCTGGTCAGGATGGACCGTGACCAGGCTCGGCACGACGTCTCCGCGCTCAGCCGTGGCCATGGCCCCCGCTTGCTCTCCCTCCGCGGGCACCCGCTCCGATCCTGGCCGGGCTGCTCCTGGGCCCCGGATCGGTCCGTGTGCCCTCCGGCCCAGGCCTGGGCCCAAGAGGAGCTCGGCCGAGGTCGGTGCAGGGCATGCAGGCAATCCGCACAGCAAGGACGGGGAGCCTTCCCAGGGGTAGCCTTGCATCCTTGCCCGTTCGGCCCGGCCTCAGCGACGTTCGCTTGGCCAGCCTCGGGCGGCAAACGCCGGCGTGGCCCTCCGAGGCCCCTTTGCACCCCTGCCGCGGATCCTTGCGATGCAGGTTAATTGCAGTTGGCGCTCTCCCACACAGGCTGCTCTCGACGGAGCAGCTCTTTGCGATCCGGGCGAAGCTGCCGGCCTCCTGGGAGGATCGGGGGGCCCCGAGCGGTGCGGTGGCCACACCGTTCGGCGACCCAGTGGGGACTCGGGCTCCTCGCGCGGCTTTGGGGCTTCCGGGCTGGGGTCGCTCTCTCCGAGGACGTCTCGGGCGGCCGGGGGTCCCGAAGCTGTGCTGCTTTGACGGGCCGTGCGGTGAGGTCTCTTAGGTGTAGAGGCCCTGGAAGGGCCTCGTGGGGGTCTAGAGCGCTTCGAGCGCGAATCTCTACTTTCGCGCGACCTCTGGGCCACCTCCGCGCCACCTCCGAGCGTTCTTCGCGCGTACTCCGTGGACGCGCCGACTTGGCGCTGATTTGCACTGGGGCAGCGTTCGCGCGTGCGCCGTGCCAAGAGCATGTCAAGCACGCGCGCCATTCCTATCGCTGCATGCCACCGTTACAGTCGGACTGCGTCTTGATGGTTAATTCTAGACGCTTCAAGTAACACCACCAGTTTATCCAGAAACAATACCCAGGGGAGTTGCCCTGATCAGGGATGCTGAGGAGCACGCAGCGGAATCAAGGGCTAGCGAAGCCGTCATACCCCAAGAGGGGGAGGATGGAGGAGGAAAGGAAGGCGGAGGAGGAGGATGGAAGAGGAGAAGGAGGAGGAGGAGGAGGAGGAGGAGGAGGAAGAGGAGGAGGAGGAGGAGGAGGAGGAGATGGAGCAGGAGCAGGAGGAGGGGCAGGAGAGGAGGAGGAGGAGGAGAGAGGAGGAGGAGGAGGAGGAGGAGGAGGAGGAGGAGGAGGAGGAGGAGGAGAGGGGGCGCGCGAATGCTCCGAAGAGGGCTCCACCAGAGCTGCGGGGAGAATGGGAAACAGGAAGAGGCCACGAGGCGGGAAGAGGAAGGAGTACAGGGGCGCGGGTCGTCCCGGTTTTGCGCCGCACGGCCTTCCAAAACGTGGATCCCCTCCACCGTCAGGAGAGCGCCCGTGGCTAGGAGGCCGGAGGAGGAGGAGGAGGAGGAGGAGGAGGAGGAGGAGGAGGAGGAGGAGGAGGAGGATCGCGCCGGGCGTGGCCCTTGCGGGTTGAACGCCTCCGGAAGAGCCGTTTCCAGCACTCGCGCGAGGTCGCTCACGGCGGAAGCGGGCAGCGCCCCGTCCCCTGCCTCGAAGCGGAGCCTCTGAACAGCGAGGAGCAGCGCGTCGACGGCTTCAGCGCCGCCCGCCTGCTGCTCCAGAGCGGCGCGCGACTCTTGCCAGCGCTGTGTCGCTCTTGTTGCCGCCTCCACCGACACGGAGGATGCCGCCGAGCCGTGGTCTGTCCCCGAATTCGGGCCAGGGCCCTGGGGGCAGCCTCCTCGCACAAAACTCCTCCGCGGGCTCGCTGGAGCTCGCGGGAGGTGAAACACCTTCCTCGTCCAAGATCTTCACCTTGAGCTCGGCGCCTCCGCTGGGGGCTGCACCAGGGCCGACCAGAGGTGAGAAACCCTCCTCGTCCAGGATCTTCGCCTCGAACTCAGAGCCTCGAGGGGCCGTACCAGGGCCAACCGGAGGCGAGAGGCCCTCCTCGTCCACGAGCTTCGCCTGAACTCGGAGCCTCCGCGGGGGGCCACACCAGGGCCAACCGGAGGCGAGAAGCCCTCCTCGTCTAGGATCTTCGCCTCGAACTCGGAGCCTCCGCGGGGGGCCACACCAGGGCCCGCCGGAGGTGAGAAGCCCTCCTCGTCCCGGATCGTCGCCTCGAACTCGGAAGAGCTCGGGGCCTCGGCGGGCCGCACCTGGGCCCGACGGAGGGACAGAGCGCTCCTCGTCCAGGCACTTCTCCTTGAACTCGGTGCCGCAGAGGGCCGCACCAGGGCCCTCTTCGCCTTGAGCTCGGAGCCGCTGGGGTCCGCACCAGGGCCCACCAGAGGGGTAGCGCGCTCCTCGTCCACAAACGTCTCCTGGAACTCGGAGCCTCGAGCGGCCGCACCAGGGCCCGCGGGAGGTGTGCCGCCGGAGCGTTCCGATGAAGTGCCGGCGGAAACTGCTGCCGGCTGGGGAGGCGCGGCGGCATCTGGGGCGGCCCCGACGCCGGCAGGGAAGTCCAGGGCTTTCCCAGAAAATCTTGGACTTGCCGGGGGTGTGTCGCGGAGGAGATGAGGAGGAGGAGGAGGAGGAGGAGGAGGAGGAGGAGGAGGAGGTGGAGGAGGAGGTGGAGGAGGAGGAGGAGGAGGAGGAGGAGGAGGAGGAGGAGGAGGAGGAGGAGGAGTAGGAGGGCGGAGGAGGAGCGGAGGAGGAGGAGGAGGAGGAGGAGGAGGAGGAGGAGATGAGGAGGAGGGGAGGAGGAGGAGGGAGGAGGCGGAGGAGGAGGAGGAGACTGTGGTTGCAGTCGTCGCCGCGCGGCCCGCAGCCGCACCGCCTCGGGGGCCCCCCGAGCAGCCGCGCCGCGCCCACCGCGGCTTCGTCGCGGCCGCGGACGCGCTGCTGCTCGAGACGCTCGGGCGTTGGGCCCTCCGTGGGCCGCGCTGGGCCGGGGCCGTCTGCACGCAGGGGCGGGAGAACGTCGACGACTCTCGGCGGCGAGCCCCTCCTCCTCCTCCTCCTCCTCCTCCTCCTCCTCCTCCTCCGCTCCATCTCATCCACCTCCTCCACATCCTCCTCTTCCTTCTCCTGCTCCTCCTCCTCCTCCTCCTCCTGCTCCATCTCATCCACCTCCTCCACGTCCTCCTCCTCCTCCTCCGCGTCCTCCTGCCCCGCGGCCTTCTGAGAAGTTTCCGGATACTGTTCTCGAAGACACAGAAAACTGTTTAGAAGGCGCGAGGGATTCGGAGAAGTACCGCCGCCTTCTGAGAAGGCCTCCTCCTTCTCACTTCCCCGTCTCGCTCGCCGCCGATACACGTCAGAGTGACCCTTCGCAGGAGTGACCTTTGGTTCGGGCTCATTGGGTTCCCCCCGATCGCTGAGCGCGATGATGTAGCGGCTGCTTGCGCGCTTGGATTGGCCACATTGCGCCCCGTCGTTCGCGCACCAGAGATCCCTCTTGCCTAATTAGGGTCACTCTTGCGTGTAGCCGAGAACGTAAGGCTCGAGCTCGGCAGGACTCGGGTCAGGGCAAGTCATAGGAGGAAAGGAACCCACACCACTACCCTTCCTTCGTTTTCTGTTGTTTTAGGCCTCCTGGGAGGCCCTCGTTGCCACCGTTGGATTGGCCTCGAAATTCTTGTCAGAGCGCACCCCAGGCGAGATTCGGGGATCAGCGGTATCGGTACCTTCTGGTTTCCCAGCCAGGAGCATGTCCACTATGTACTGTGTTATGTTTGTCAACCACTTAGTAGCAAAAGGCGCCGCAGACACGGCGTATATGCTTTTTGCAACACCTGGCGCACAGAAAACCCGCCGCAACATCACATATCATGCGTTGTCGTGTGGCGTTTCTGCGAAGTCTTCTGGAACATGAACCAGATACGGGCGGTTCCCATCGGGTGTGCCGACGCCTTATTGATTGCCAACTCCTGCGATTTGACGGACCAGTCTCCGTTGGATGTCTGCAGCGGGAGCTCGCGCCAGATTTCACACCGGGTCTCGTCATTTTATTGACGGCCCCGTCCGTCCCACCCGAGTCGCCCGAACCCGAGGTTGACGTCTCCCCGACAGGAGGGACCCTTCGCCGTGCTGGCCTTCTGGTGCGAGCCCACAAGGGTCCCACCGAGCGCCGAGTGCGATGCGACAGCGACAGCCTACGCGTTTGAGTCTGGCCATCTCGTGGCCCCTTGATACTGCTTTTCCCCCAACCGACAGGTTGGGGTCGTTACGCGACCGCCAGACGGCTCCCGAGAATCCCTGGTGGTCCAGCCCCCCCATGCCCTGCATACTGCGGCCGCCAGATCCCCCTGCTCCCGATCATCTCTGGTGTTCCCGCCCCCCGCGCCAACTCGCCCGCTCTGCATACTTCAGGAGGGAAAGAAACACACAGACACAATTAATCGGCGATCTCCAGAAAATATAGGAAAATACGGGAAGTGGGGGGGAAGACAGAAGCCCAGAAAATATATGAAATATGGGGGATATTTTTATTTTTGTGTATTTATTTGTGTGTCCCAGTTCCCCTTTAATACTGCGTCCGCCAGGTCCCCAGGTCCCCCGATAATCCCTGAGGGTGCCGCCCCCCGCGCCGACCTCGCCCACGCTGCATGCCGCTGCCGCCAGATCCCCAGGTCCCCCTCAGAACAGAGCATAGCACCACACCACCGAACAGAACCTTCCCGAGCATGATATACCATATCACCACAGACCATATCGCATCATAGCACACCATGACAGAGCAGGGCATACCACACCACAGCATCGCAGCACACATAACTCCATATCATGACAGCCCTATCATGCCAGAACAAATCAACGCGAAGCTGTACATATCAGCACAGAGGATGTCTCACCAGCGCATAGCATGGCATATCACATCCGAGCACACCGCATCATAACAACACATGCTACGACATATTCGATCACGCATAACATGACATTGCATAGCATGACATAGCAGAGCATACCATAACATGGCATAGCAGAGCACCACAACATATACAATGGCAGAACAAGCCACAACGTAACCCAGCATCCCATCACATCTCATTCCAACAAATGGCAGTATAGCATTACAGAGTTGAGCATACGATGCTGCCCAACAGCGAAACGTAGCATCGCATAACACCATAAGTTATGACAGACTTGGTCGCACTGAACAGCATAGCATAACACCACACCTCACAACGAAACATCACAGAGCATACGATGGCACACCCCATGACAGAACGATGAGCGCGCGCACCTTCGGGATCAAACGCCCAAGGTGTTGGTGGGAATCGCTCGAAGCAACATACCTGTTGGTCTTTTGGCGAGCAACGGCCCTTGCTGGGCCAGCCCACCTCCCCCCTCCAGGTAACGGTAACACTCGCACGTGGGGGGGGGGGTCGTGGACCCCCACTCACATGTTGGGTGCTCTCGCGCATGCTGACCCCCGCCCCGACTTGCCCCACCCCAACGCACAAACATAGTCGTAGATCCCCAGGAAGATGTGGAACGTCTGAGAAGTGGAGGGGAATAAAGGCGAGCGCCCAGGAGTTGTGGGAAATGGGGGGGAATCCTTGGATCTGTGCCTTTTTTTGTTGTGGTGTCCCTGGGCCCCTTCCGCTCGCGCGTGGCCGAGACCGCTGCTCCCCGCACCTCTGGGGCACCTCCTGCTCAGAGTTTCGGCGCGAGCCTGGCGGGGGGCGACGAGGGCCCTCCGGGAGGCCCCGCGAGGCGAAGACCCCAGGCCAGGGCATGTCGTGCGGCATCGGTGCTTCCCCAGACGTGAGCCGCCCCCCCGTGCACGCCGCCAAGCAACATAATGATAGCCAGAGTTCAGTAGCCCCGAACAGCTTGTTTTTTTTGTCCAGCTGGCTCCAGAGAGTGTTTGCGCGCTCTCCTGCCTCCGATCTGCCTGCGCCGTGGGCGCCCTCCAGCTTTTCGTGATCGTCGTCGCCGTGCTCCTCCCCCGCATCCACGTAACTACACACCTCCTCCTCCTCCTCGTCATCATCTCCCTCCTCTCTTCCTTCCGCTCCTCCTCCTCCTCCTCCTCCTCGTCCTCGTCATCGTTATTTTCCTCCTCCTGCTCCTGGTTATCCTCCTCTTCCTCCTCCTCCCCCTCCTCTTCCTCCTTCTCCTCCTCCTCCTCCTCCTCCTGTATCTCCTCATCTCACTCCTCCTTGTCCCCTCCTCATGCGAAATCCTCCCCATGCTCCTGGTACTATTCCTCCTCGTCGTTTTTCTTATTCTTATTATTCTTCCTCCTCCTCCTCCTCCTCCTCATCATCATCATCATCATCCTCTTCCCCCTCCTACTTGTATGTATCGTCCTGCTCCTCCTGCTCGCCGTGCTCCTCCTTGTATTCCTCGTTCCGCTTCGCAGTGCTCCTCCTGCTGCTGCTGCTCCTCCTCCTCCTCCTCTTCCTCCTCCTTCTCCTCCTCCTCCTCTTCCTCCTCTTCCTTCTCCTCCTCCTCCTCGTCCTCCCCGTCCTTCTCCTCCTCCTGCTACTCGTTCTCATCCTCTTCCTCCTGCTCCTGCTCCTCCTCGACCTCCTCCTCCTCCTCCTCTTCCTCCTGCTCCTCCTCCTCCTCTTCCTCATTATTATTATTATTCTTCTTCTCGTCGTCTTCCTCCTCCTTCTCCTCCTCTTCCCTCCTCTCTTCCGCTTCTTCCGCCATGCCAGGGATGCCTTCACACTCTCGATGCCTGTTCCAGGAGGCACCCTCGTTAGGGATGCCTCTGCACTCTCGATGCCTGGCCCCGTCTCCTCCCCCCATCTCTGTGTGTGATCCCTCTCGCGGAGCACCTCGGAGCTCGTTCCTCTCCTCCCTTTCTCCTCCCCCTTATCCTGCCTCCTCCCCGCCCGCCGCGCTCCTGGTCCAGGCAGGGCCACGATCTGCTCCAGCATGGCTCTGCCCCAATCGATCCGCCTCTGCAGGTTGCCCGTGACTATCGTGCTCGCGCCTCTGCGCCAGCGCTGCCTGCTCCGTCCGGCCAGGGGTGCCCAGGGGCCTCTCCCGGAGCAGAAGCGCACACATCGCTCAATTTTTTATTCTTCGAGAGTGATGTGGATTTTTTTGGGGTCCAAGATCCTCTCATTTCTACTTGTTCCATCCTGGGCCTCTTCCTGGCCACCAGGGGGCCAGGAACAATGAGAAACGAGCACGACTAGAAATGAGCACGGTTAGAAATCAACGACGTGTAATAAAATGGTTCGTTTGGGTCTGACCCCTCCTCGCTCCTTTATCCTCCCTCTCGGAGCCAGGAGCTTCGAGGATGTCTCAAGCGAATCGGGCCATACCGCCTCTGGCGCGGCCTTTCGGATCCCAGCGTTGCGAGGGTGTCTCAAGCGAAACGCGCAAGGCCACTTCGCGCACATTTTCTGAGAGTCCAGACGTGCGAGGATGTCTCAAGCGAATCGGGCCAGATCACCTCTGGCGCGGCCTTTCGGAGCCCAGAGTGTCGAGGATGTCTCAAGCGAAACGCGCAAGACCACTTCGCGCACATTTTCTGGGAGTCCAGACGTGCGAAAGTTTCTCAGGCGAAACGAGCTGAACCACGCAGCGCACATCTTCAAGGAGCCCGGAGTCACGAGGATGTCTCAGGCGAGACGCGCCGGACCACCTCGCGCGAAGCATCTCGGAGCCCCGACTTGCGAGGAGGTCTACGGCGAACCGGGCTGGACAACCTTGCGTGCGTTGCCTGGGGTTTCTGAGTTCCGAGATTTCTCAGGCAGTGTCCAGACCCTTCCCGGAGCACACTTCGAGAACAGATGTGTAATCACATGATTCGTCTGGGTCTGACTCCTCCTCCCTCTCGGAGCCCAGAGTTTCGAGGATGGGAGCCCCGACTTGCGAGGATGTCCCAGGCGAACCGGGCTGCACAGCCTCCCGTGCGACATCTGGGAGCTCAGAGTTCCGAGAACGTCTCCGGCGGCGACTGGGCCCC